TCCGATCTCAAATTAATTAATATGTTAATTAACCCTATTTAATTTTAGAGATATCATAAACTCCGATTAACATAGATAATGAGACCGGTATATGTGGACTATACGTGTTTAATATTCAACATATTAGATGCATTGAAATGTAGTATGAAGTATCTACCAAAAAAAAATAGTAGGAATTTTTTAGTTGGTTTATGCTAATATTATTTATGCTCGATTGCAATTATTACGATACAATATTTTTTTGTTTAGTTTCTTTTTTAATTGTATACTAAAATATACGAGCAAAACAATATATAGATAAGCGTCATTGTAGCAATGGATCTAGATCTGATCTCCCTTTAAAATATATAGATACAATATTCTCTACTTATATTTTTTTTGTAACAACTCTACTTCATATATGTGAGGTTTCTTAATGAATTCATTCATAGAAGCTCTTTGTTTTTTTTTTCTTATGTAAAAAAAATATTTTAAAATATATGATTGTGTTGTTACATTTATGTTGAAATTATCTCCCACCATATGATGGACCGTTGTTCAGATCTAACCCCCCATCTCCTCATTCAATGCACCGTCCCTTTATTTAAAAAAAAAAATGCAAACTGTAATCTGTTTATTACAGCATACCATGCCCTCGCAAGTGAATGGACATTTATAGTAATAGTAATAGTGGCTATTGATTAGAATATTTTAGTGGGAGCAGATTAATTATCTTTTGTCACATAGCGTCTAATACGGAAATATGAATTGAAATTGAAATCAATAATGCTTATTGTAATGGTAATAGTGGGTATTAATTAGAATTATTTTCTTGGAAGTAGATTAATTACCAATGTCATATATGGCATCTAATACGGAAAAGATGCATTGGAATTAAAGCCAATGATGTTTATAAGCAACCATTTTACCCTAGTGTACGGAAATACGTACTGACATGAAATTTATTGACGGAAACATGTAAATAAATTAACCCAAGAAATATAAAACTAGATTAGATTGTTTTTTTTTTCGTTTGCGAGATTTACACGTGGCGAAAGCTAATAGGAAAGAGCACGATAACAGCAGTGTGCGTAGAAGCAGCGAATAAAGGAAGCGACTGTGTGTATATATACATCATGAACAACACTCCTGGTCCTTGAGCCAAACTCCTCTCTCTCTCTGCTTTTTTATTTTTTTCATTTGGAGGAAAAGAAAGACTTCGCATTTGGAGAAAAGGAGTGTTTGGCTCTTTGGATAAGGAGGAAAAAAAATGGCAAGGTCATCGATAGCAATCTTCATGCTAGCCATCATTGTCCTCTCCATGCTTCAAACCATCGTAACCATCTCTTCTTTCACTTTTCCTTGGATCTCTTTGCTTTGTTAGTGAATGTAGTTTTGTATGGTGGGTTAGTCATGTACATGGGCATATCGATGTTTTTACATATTTATTTGACTTTACTTACTGAAAATACCGATTTTGTATTTTGAAGGTCATGGCATCAAAGGCGACTCGTGGGAAATGGGACCCGGTAATTTTATTTATTTAATTTTGGTCTAGCCGTTAAATGTTTAATTAGTTTTTGTTCTCACTGTCTTGGAAATCGCAGAGACGTTACGGGCCGGGCAGCCTCAGGCGTTCCCGTAAGTCGCTTTCTTTTTTCTTGTCTTGTTCCTATATTTAATTTGACAACACATTAAACTATGTTTTTTTTGGTTAAGCACATTAAACTATGCGGATGAGTAGTAGTAAAAGGTTAAAAACTAGGACAGCCATTAAATGACATTTATTCACATGGTAAAATCGCGTTGGAAATAGTAATTTGTCGTAGAAATTCTTGAGATATTCAGAAAACCAAAAAGGTAAAAAAAAAATAAAATTGATATCAAGAATCGGTCGTCTCGTCATATCATTAGGTTTAAGACAGTGGTGGGCTAAAGAAAAAGGGATGATGGGCTTTGCTGAAATTGGTTCATAGGATTCCCAAACCTACTCACCAAGAAAATGACAGATTTGCCCCTAGTTCCTGGTCAAATAGTCAAAGACCAGTGTATTTATGTCACGGTCAAAGTCGTCAGAGGAACCCAAATCTTATAACCATTGTTTGTTGTCGGTATCATCTTCATTATTATTTTTTTTAATTTAAAAGCTGAAATAGAATTGAATGATGGGATTGGGGGGGTTGGTGTGTGAAATGACCAGAATGCCCAAAGGAGTGTAACAGGAGATGCGGGAATACGCAGTACCACAAGGCATGCATAACGTTCTGCAACAAGTGCTGCAGGAAGTGCCTCTGTGTGCCTCCGGGGTATTACGGTAATAAACAAGTCTGCTCCTGCTACAACAACTGGAAGACCAAGGAGGGTGGCCCCAAATGCCCATGATGATCCATCATCATCACCATCATCATGACATTACTATCAATATATATAGCTATTATATATGCTTGTTCCTCTCTGCACTTTCGTTATTGCTGTGTCTGCGTCACTCCTCTTTTATCCTTGATGAGAGTGGCTTATCAATGATTAAAATCTAATATATTAATATTTCTGGTTTCATTTATCTGTGGATTCAGTCTGAAAATATATATATATATATATATATATATATTCAGACACCGATCAGGTCTCTGATTCTCTCAACCTTGTTCAATGGTACATCGTCAGTGAATTCAGACAAAATTGCCCTAAACTCATCTCCGGATAACGTCTCCTTCTCCAACAACACATCCACAAGCTTATCTATGGCTTCTCTGTTGTTCCTTACGTGTTTCTTCGCAATCTCGTACGCGTTTTCGATTATCTTCCTCACGCAGTTGTCGATGTCTTCTGCAAGTTTCTCCGATATGGAGTTTCTTGCCATCATCCTTAGTACGACGTCGTTTTGCTGAACCGCTGGGTCCGTCAATGCCCATGGACCTATCTCTGACATTCCATACATCGTCACCATCGGATAACCGGAAAAAGACGCCCTCGGTTAGGTCCGGTTTAGTAGTTCGGGTTAGTTGGAGTAAGCTTAACCGGTTACCTGTTTCGCGATTTGGGTGACCTGAAGGCGATCGCCGGCGGCGCCGGTGGTTACCTCCGGTTCACCAAAAATCACTGGGAATATTACTCAAATAACCCACTTGGGTCGCAGCAATTTCAGTGTACACCACCGAAAAAAAAATAAAAATTTGCGACCTTATTACGACTAATATATAACTAATATACAACTTATTACGACTAATAAACTACTCTTATTTTAGTTGTATATTAGTTATATATTAGTCGTAATAAGGTCGCAAATTTTTTTTTTTTTCGGTGGTGTACCCTGAAATTGCTGCGACCCAAGTGGGTTATTAGGGTTAAAACCCCAAAATCACTTCCTCGGCTGCTCGGCCTCCTGAGTCCTCCGACAATTTTTGCGAACAACTGCTGTTTCGAGACCAATGTCGGGTCTTCTCCCGGTAAGAACCACGTCAGCCCACGAGCTTGGCCTCTTGGAATCAATGTCACCTTCTGAACCGGATCATGACCGGGCGTCAATGTCCTAAACCATAACAAAGCGGTGTTACCACACGCAAAACCGGCCGGTACGCGAAACCTAGAGTGGAACGACAAACCGGGCGACTTAAGCGCAAACGGCGTGTCCGACTTCATGGTACGCGACGAGGGCTTTGCTCTTGCCGTCGGTCATCTTGGTTCCCTCCATTCCGGCGACAATCCGGTCGATGGACTCGTCGATCTCCTTAGGGGTAATTCTGTCTTTTCCTCTCCTGCCGGCGAGAATGGCGGCTTCGTTCATGAGGTTTGCCAGGTCAGCTCCGCTGAACCCTGGAGTTCTCACGGCGATCACGTTAAGAGACACTTCTGTTAATGCAATGAAAGAGCATCAAGCGAAGATTCAATATCTAGAAGATCTCAAGCAAAAAGGAAACAGGTCAATGTGAAGAAATGGAAGGAACAACCAGTAAGGGAATGACTTGCAAGAGAAAAAGAAACATGCCATTGAAGAAAAATGGAAAGATCAAGCAAAAGGAATAAAGTCCAAGAAAAAGGAAAAGAAGATATTGAGCAAAATATTGGAAACAAGAAGAGGAGCTATGCATAAATACAAGACGTGGGAGATACAGAAAGGAATCCCAGCAGAACAGAAAAAGAGAGAAAAGAGCAAAGAGCTGGAGAATCATAGGTGTGGGAAACACGGGTGAGTGATACTTGAGAGAGAGTGAAGTGCATCTGAGGGGGAGCCTTCAAAAACAGGCGAACCGCTCAAAGGGCCTAGACGAGTCTAGGGTTACACGGGGTATGCGAGGCACACATAGTGTATGGACTGATAGAATAGACAAACTCAGGGGGAGTTGTGGTTCTTGGGATGGATTAGGCTCGAACAAAAAAGAGTTGTAATTCATGTTCTTTACAAATGAATAGAATCAGTTGGGAAATTTTTGAAAGCAATATCGTGTGAGTTTACTTTTTCAACTTCTTTATCGAGTTTCTTGTTCTGGCTGTGAACTTTTAGTATCTTCTCTTCCTCTCACGTCTGGCAATCCTACCGTAACCTGCATAAACCGAGTTCAACCGGACCGGTTCAATCAGTAAACCGACGAACAATCGAAAGATAGATGTACCTGCCGATCGAATCTTCCGGGTCAAAGGAGAGCAGAGTCAAGAATCTCTGGCCGGTTCGTGGCAGCGATCACGATCACTCCGGTGTTACCGGTGCATCCGTCCATTTCGATTAACAACTGGTTCAATGTCTGTTCACGTTCGTCATTCCCTCCGCCTATACCAGTGCCTCTTTGCCTCCCGACCGCATCGATCTCATCAATGAACACCAAACACGGCGAATTTGCCTTTGCTTTGTTGAACAAGTCTCTAACCCTAGAAGCTCCAACGCCCACAAACATCTCTATGAACTCTGAACCGGACAATTGAGAAGAACGGATCGCCGGCTTCTCCGGCTATGGCCTTGGCCAAAAGGGTTTTCCCTGTTCCCGGCGGTCCGACCAACAATACACGCCTTTCGGGATTTTAGCCCCCACGGCTGAGAATTTCTCCGGGGTTTTCAAAAACTCTGACGATTTCTTGAAAGTCTTGTTTCGCCTTGTCTACTCCAGCTACGTCGTCAAACGTTACCCCCGTGTTGGGTTCCATCTGGAATCTTGCTTTGCTTCTGTTACAAGATAACCGAAGGAGGAATGTCTTGTCAGAACATAACACAAGACGAAACAAAATACTTTGGAAGACAAATCATCATGGGTCAAGATGAAAATATGTGTTCTTGATTTTGATTGCTTCCGTTACCTTCCAAGACCAAACGGTAAATTAGGTCCAACAGGGGAAGAAGACCTAAGAAGAAGAGAGCCAAGCAAGAGAAGAGGAAACCCAAAATTTCCCAAGGAATCAAGCAAGAAAGCTCCCCAGTTCACATCCGTGGGATGAGCCGCGAAATCAACGTTCTTCTCCTTCATCTTCCTCACCAAATCGGCAGGCAAACCAGGCAAATTGACCTTAACCCTTTGCATTTTCCCCAACGTCGAGTTGAAAACCTCTGCGATAGCCACTGTACCCTTCTCAAACAAGTCTACTTTTCTCACCATATCTTCATCTAGGTATTGCAGGAACCTCGAATACGATACCCTGTTCGAGGTGGACTTGATGGGAGCCTCCGGCTCAGCTCTTGCGGGCCGGGCAAGAAACGTCCCGAGGGATGACGTAAGCCCTAAGGCAGCTGAACTCAGTAGATTCCTTTTGGTGAGTTTGAGGTGTGAATTTTGAGTTTTGACACATTGGTTCTGTCTGTGAACTGGTTTTGAGATCTGGGTATGTTTTGGAACTTCTTGGGTTTTGTTGCAGGTAGGGTTCTTGGAGAGAGGGAGAAACAAGGCAGGGGATGATGTCGAGGAAGACGACATGTTCATCATCAAACTGTTTTTTTTCCTGAGTTTTTGTCTGAGAACGAGTCTTCGATCTTTGTCCGATCAATCTTGTGTTTTGGAGGGAAGATTTTAACCCAAAGAGAGTGATTATAAAGATGTTTCCAGTACTTTGATCTTATTGTGAGATTTTATATTTCTCGAACACGTCTTTGTCTTCTTGAACGATCCAGAGTTTGTCAAATCGACAAGAAGGGGGCCATTGTTACAGCTTCAACGTTGATTTCATAATATAATCCCCACGAGTTCATATGATGAGCCCTGATTTACCCCCTCTCTCTCTCCCACCACAAAATTTTATTTATCCCTTAAATTCTTTTTCATATTTGTCACAAATTCCGTAATCCATACACTTGTGAAGCACACATACGTGACAGGACCTTCATTTTTTTTTTTTTAATGAGAGGCTGTAATGTTTCGTCGGTCTCTTGATTTGATGCCACGTCTCATGAATCTGTATAATCATGATGCCAAAAAAGGGGCCAAAGATTTCAATTGAAAATGGGCTAATCAACAGTAGATGAGAGGATATACTCAATTTGTGGATAGAAATTCAACGAAAAAGTGAGGGTCTTTCGACTATACAAAGGCAGTAAAACAATGGGGAGAGAGAGAGAGAGAGAGAGAGAGAGAGAGAGAGAGAGAGAGAGAGAGAGAGAGAGTCAAGAAGATGGGAAGAGAAAAGGGGAGAGAGATGATGAATAGTTGATGTTGGCATCATTGAAGTGAATGCTGTCAAGCTTGTGCTGGCACCACTTGAGGTGAGAGGATGAGATCAATGGCATCTGCAAAACCCTTCTCACTATCTTCAGTTCTATCTCCATCATCATCATCTCCTCTTGCTGCTCCCCAAATCCTCCCATTGTGCTCTTGTTCTTGCCTTGCTGGGTATTCTTCTTCTTCTTCTTCAACAACTGTTCCTTCTTCAAAGACAACCCACCTCCCATTTACACTATTCTAACATATACAATTGAAAATTAAAAGGAATCGGTGAAAAAAAAAAGAGTGTACCTTATGGAGTGAATCAGAGAGGGAGAGAAAGAGCTTAATGTCCCGGGGATCTTCAACTTCCACACGAGAAGGAACATGAAGCCCCCACCAACACGGCTTTTGGACATCTGATTTCACAAACTCATGAAAAACTTGTGTGCATCTCTCTATTGCCCTCAACGCTTCTCCTGCCCCGACTCCTCCTCCTTTGCCACCCTCTCTTCTATGCCCTTCACCCCATATATTCGTTTGTTACCGGGTTTCAATATCATTGGAAAAACTTTCGAATATAAATTAAATAGGGTTTTTGTTCCTTTCAATAATATTGTTAGTAGTTGGGGTAACTATGTCCCTTTTTTTTAAAAAAAAAAAAATATCGCCACGCATAAAGTGGACTATTTTAAAATTCACGTTAGTCGTTGCGGATAAGGTTGGTCGGACGCATCCCCGACTTTTACGTTCACCGGATTGATTACGTTTGACCCCATGCATTTCAAAAAAAAAAAAAAAACTGACCAATCGACTTAGATGACTTGTTAAAAATTAAAATAGAGGTTGAATCCCGCCATGAGTCACTATCAAACTATAAATTGGATTTTTTTTATGTGTATTTTAAATTACGATTTAAATAATCATAGAGAAGCCGTTTCAAAATCAAATTATATATTTTTTTAAAAAAATCCATGTCAGGATTCATGTAATATTTAATACGTGTTTGCAGCAGACAACCCCTCTTGTCTAAATAAGTCAAGAATCTTAGGAAAGACTTTTGGTCATGGAATCTATTATGTATAATCGAGGAATTAGAGCATGGTTTCCTGTAATTCCAACCAACCTAAGCTTTCCTTATCACCTAACCAACTCGCAAAACAACGACCACAGAATAATTATATAAAAAAAATACCAATTAAAGATAATTATCTTTCCTATCCTATATCATGTCCAATATGTAATTCCCATTATCACTAAAGAAAACGATTACATTCGATTTAACACGTACATTTTGAGCCTTTACCTCTCGTTATTTGTTTGCACTATCTTTTTCATGTTTAAAGTGAATTTAATGAATATATATATATAAATTTTTTCTAACGTTACTATACATATACACACACACACACGAAGAAAACTAACAAATAATAAATCAATAGTATATGATATGCGTTGTTAACGTTACCTGAAATCTTTGGGACTTGGAAAAAGCTCATGAGCTCAAACCTTCTTTGAACAAAACGCATGACCCTTCTTCTTCTTCTTCTTCGGTCACACCTTTCGTCTTCCAAGAACCTCTCTAACAACACCTGAAACCTCTGCAAATCTCCGCAGAGATCACTGCTAAACCCTCCTCCTGAATCGGCGGATTCCGCCATCTCTCTTATCTTCATGTACTGATGCCGAAGAGCTTCCCATGACAAACACGACTGGGCGACGTATACAAGCTCAAGATCTCTCTCTACGCTTTCTCTTAGCCGCTTCTCTGCCGTTTTGTCCCATGATGATGAATTCAGATTTCGTGCCGTTTTCTGGTTCATTATCATACCTACGCCCAAAACCAGTTGACAGGCTATATATATGTACGTATATGTCTAACTCGACGTTATAATAAGATCAGATGATGTTTTGGTATTTTATGTGAAACTTACTTAGTCCCAAAGTTCTGTCTTGATTCAGGATGTCGTACCATCTCATTCTTTTGCTGTATTGCTCGTACACTTCGTCGTTTTCATCGATTGGATCTCGGACCGCCAAATCTGAGAAGGGTGAGGACTGATCATCAGAATCCGTCGATGAATTCATTTGACCGGTATCTATAGTAGATAACTTGTTGCTCAAGGTTACTGTATCTTCTCCATCATCAACAGATGAACTCTCTTCCTCTTCGATTCCGTTCTCCTCACTTGTTCGACATTCAGGCTCGAGATCCTTGTCCATGTTCTTCTCATCAATGGCGTTATCATCTTCTCCATCATCAACAGTTGAACTCTCTTCCTCTTCAATTCCGTTCTCCTCACTTGTTCGGCATTCAAGCTCGAGATCTTTTTTCATGTTCTTCTCATAAATGGCGTCATCATCTTCCTCAAGTAGCTGAACGGCTGCACCATCTTCTTCACATTCTTCGAAAGCTTCGTTTTCCTCTTCCTCTTCTTCCTCTTCCTCGAGGATCTCATTTTCTTGAACCCAAATAACCTTCGACTTATTAGACGCCGTAATAAAAAAGTTATGTGAATAAAAGACCGGAGCAAAGCTATGAACTTTTCTGGAAATCTCCATGTTAACGATATCGACGACTTGCCTAGACTCGACCCGTGTTGCATCCCTTCTGATAAACAGGACAAAACGGATCAGTTGCTTATGAAACATAGCCAAGATCCATAAAACTGTGTCGTAAAATAACCTAAAGTGTCTGAGAAGCCATAGATAGAGCATGCTGAGCCAAAGAAGAACTTGGCAAAGAAAAAGAAAAACAGGGTTTACATATACTTTCATGTAGGTCCATTTCAGGAAACTGTCTTGGATGATTATGGACTCTATGATGAGCCAACATGATGAGAGTAAAGCCATCAAACTCTACACACACTCACCCAGAGAGAGAGAGAGAGAGAGAGAGAGAGAGAGAGAGAGAGAGAGAGAGAGAGAGAGAGTTCAATGGAAGTTTGTTGCTTTGGTTGATTGTTGGTATTGAAGAGTACAAAGAGGAAGAGGAAGAGGAAGAAGCAACTGAGAAAGAGAGCCTTGTGGAAAATTTTCGTTGACCACCAGTGGCGGAACCAAAACATTTTATGAATGGGGTCACTAATGTATATACATATAAATTTGTAAGTATAAATTTAATTTCATTGGGGACAATATAACAATTTTACATAAAATTTATAAAGAGAACAAATTTTTTTTCTACAAGTTGTGGGGTTGTGACCCCACTATTGATCAAGTCGGTCCCACCAATCATATTATTTGCTAAAGGGTTTTGTGCATATTTTATATTTATAAAGAAAAAACGCAAAGAAAAACGGTCCTGCAAAAATGTATGCAGAGCACTTTTACATTTACATCTTTGTATGTGTAAAACTGTATGCAAAACTGCAAGAAAATATTTAGATTAGATTTCCAATCAAAATCAAATCTTTCAATATCACTTTTAGAAAGCGGCAAATTATTTAGATTTGCAGGACAATGGTTGCAAGTTTCAATGTTACAGAAAAAGGGAAAAAATATAGTTAGTTTTTAAAGTTTGGTAAATATAAGAAATCATGCAAATTAAACTTACATATATATATATATATATATATATATATATATATATATCCAATTTGCTCAAATGCTTACTTGGATCCGACTGTATCCACACCTACATTCTGATCCAAAAAACGAATGTTTGACCTCCTCTACCCAAAAAGAAATTGTAATGTTAATCCAATAGGATACTCGAGTTTTGTGATTACATTTATATTGATACATCATCTAGCAAGTTAAAAAAACACACACCAATGAAGTCAACCGTTTTTTACTTGGGATCTCAAACCAGAGATTCAGGCAAAATCCATATGATATTAACAGTAAAACCACTTGCTACAACGACAGAAGCATCATCACAAACGAGATTTCGAAGTTGTCAAACTCTAACAGCAACCCAACAAGAAACACTATCCTTGTGCTGTCATAAGAACATTCATGTGTATACATCCATCCATACATGTGTGAATATATACAAGGAAAATACGACGCAAGCATAGCAACATCTGAACAACTTTATGAGATAATAGTATGTGTGATGCCATCTCTAGAAGTTATGGACGGAAAGCATTGAAGTCAAATCTTCCCTAATTGTAAAACTCTCCGAATTCCCACTTCAATAATCCCTTGATCTGTTTTCACAGGTTTCAATCTTTTCAGTCTTTCCATCCCATCTCTAACCTTAGTTACCTTTGCTAACCAGATGCTACCTTATGATTTTCGCAACCCCTTGAAACATTATTCAGAAAAAAGTTCACATCAAAGCGTGCAGCACAGGCCATGAGAGCTTAGTTTACAACACAAGACAGAATTGTACGGATTTTGGGAACTAAACAAAATTAGAAGAAGGAAACCTGAATTCCGAGCAATGCCATCAGTTGCGACACAAACTCTGGGTGGCCAGGCCATGCCGCTCCAGTCACCAGATTCCCGTCGGTGAAGCATCGGTGAATTGGATCAGGTTCTAACCAAGTCGCCCCTCCAAGCACCACGTTCAGCTTCACTGCCGGATAGGCCGTGCATTTCTTTCCCTGCATCAAACATTGTTGATAGTGTAACAACAGTTCAGATAACGCAAAAAAAAATGAAAGAAGAGGGCTTAAGTCAACAATTACTGACCTTTAGAACTCCGGCAGCAGCCAAGATCTGTTGTCCATGGCAAATAGATGCAACCGGCTTCCCAGAACTCATGAACTCCTTCACTATGGCAAGAACCTGTTCGTTCAAGGCCAAGTATTCCGGTGCTCTACCACCCGGAATGACCAGAGCATCATAACTGGCGGCATCTATCCCATCAAAGCTAGCTGTTAACGTGAAATTATGGCCCGGCTTTTCACTGTATGTTTGATCACCCTCAAAGTCATGGATAGCAGTCGGGCACCGTTCCCCAGCCTTCTTCCCTGGACAAACAGCATCGACCTGACACCCTAACGCTTGAACCGACTGGAAAGGGACCTTTACTTCATAGTCTTCCATGTAATCCTGCACCCAACTTGTGACACTTGTAACTAAAGTTTCCAAGCATTCTTTCCTAGCTGTTTACCCGATTGAATTGACAAAACAGAAAGGTAGCTTACCCCGCAAAGAAATAAGATTCTTTTATTTGCTCCGGTGATTTTACCCCCCAGGGCATTCACAAACTGCTGGATGAATTCAGGATGGCCCTCATATGTAGCTGCAGTAATCAAATTGCCATCAACAACACAAACCTCCGGCGTTTTTGGCTCCACCCACTTCGCCCCAGCAGCGATAAGGGCAGGTCCAACAGTTTGGTAAGCTGTGCACTTTCGACCGTTAACTGTGTCTGCAGCTGCCAATATCAGTTGTCCATGACAAATAGAGGCAATGGGTTTCCCGGAGCTTGAAAAGCCTTTAACCAGTCCCAGGACAGATGCATTCATTGCCAGGTATTCTGGAGCTCGTCCTCCTGGTATAACCAACCCATCGTATTTGCCGGGCTCGATTTCATCAAAGGTTGCATTGAGCGTGAAATTGTGACCACGCAACTCTGAGTAAGTCTGCAAGCAGTGAGAGTAAGAACCAGAACGGGGCTAGAACGGAGCACCCTTTTCTCATTGCAGAATCCGAAAACACGAGGCACGAATGGTCTCCTACAGCTTTGGTACCGCATTAGTTAAGATCCGAGTATGATTTTGCCCACTTGCACATGGGAATCCCGTTTTTTTTTTGTATAACAAATCTCTACCCTCTGTAAACTTTCGGATTTATGATTCTATTAATACCACAGTCACAATTTTATAAAAAACAAAAAAGCATAAGAGCATATCGATATACATATAGACTAGGAAGACTCAACTTCTTCTCCAAATTACGCCTGTAGCCCTATTGTATATGATCGTCAACCACTAAAGTCGTAAAGAAAATTGAATATCGCGCAATTTCAAAAGGACAAATCCATAGAAAGGGAGGGGAGAGACCTGGTGACCGCAGAAGTCGTGAACGGCGGTGGGGCAAGAATCGCCGGACTTCTTGCCGGGGCAGACGGCGTGGACGGAGACTCCATAAGCTTGCAAGGCCTGGAACGGGACCATCACCTGAGAGAAACAAAAATCACGAAGGAGAATGTCTGATAAGCGAAAATGAAGAAAGAGAGAAGAATCAAGAGGAGAGAGACGACCTCGTAGTCTTCCATGTAGTCGCCGCAAAGAAGTAGGACAGTTTTCGAGTTCGCCATCTCCAGAGAGAGCGAGAGAGAGAATTGGAGTGTAGTAGTAGCCCGGAGGAGGAGATTTTATGGGGATTGTGTTGCTTAGTCAGAAGAAGACGAGAGAGAGAAACGTTTCACATGCGCCACGTGGCTTCATCGATGTTGTGGTGAAGGAAATAATAATTAAAAAAAACGACAAAAAGCGTGAACGGCAGGATTCGAACCTGCGCGGGCAGAGCCCACATGATTTCTAGTCATGCCCGATAACCACTCCGGCACGTCCACTTTTGCTCTGCTCCTTATTTTTTATACTAACCAACCGATTCTAGAGAGCAACAGTAATTCGACAAGTAGAAATTTGGATTAAGGTCTGAAACCTCTGTCCGAATCGTTGCCCGTCGCTGTGAAGGAAGACGACGAACGGCGGAACATGCTTTGCTGAAATTACGACTTTGCCCCTGCATCAGGGCCAATTGGGTCCGGTTCGAATTTCTTCAGATTCGATTACGATTCCAGTTAACTTGGTTAGGATATATCTCATTAACCAAAATATAACGTGGAAATCAAGAAATAAATTAGTCAGAACAGTCTACATTGTATTACAACTATGGCATTTTATCATGTGGTAGACAAGAGACAAGGTTACATGAAATTCAAGTACATGAACATGATATGGACGCATAAGCACATGCTGAACTACATACGCGCCTTAACCGTTCCAATGGTGAAGCTTCCACCGAGTCCCTGAGCAGAGAATACAAGATCCGTACCATTATGATGATGGATGATGATAAACTATGGAGGGTGACGATTCTTGATATCACCTTACAAAGGAAGAGAGTATCCACGGAGGTACGTTGAGTCCACACCGGATTCTCGGACCAGAGCCACTCTTCCAGTCCGAGCCACCTTAAAACGGTTACGTTACAGACAGTATTCATCTTTAGATAAGCAGCAGACTATAAAAAGGGCTCAGGTTTTCAGGTTGGGAATCAACCATAATAGAATATGTCTGGCCAAGAAAACGTTCTTTTACCTCGCAGATTCCGTACGCCTCTAACTGGGTCTGAAGTGCAGCCATTTTTCTGAGATCACCAGTGACCTGCATTACCAATGTATACCACCGACTGACTTCATCAACTGTACTAATGGAACAAGACATAACTGAAAACGTGTTCCTTTTGTCTAAAAATCTGACAAAAAGGTCACTTGACAACTTTCCAGATTGACAGATTCCGTGGATCGAATATTTGCAATGCTGAAAAGACAAGGGTAGTGTATGTATATATCGATATATGACCTCGAGAGTGATAGTATGATCGGACACATCAACGGCTTTAGCACGGAAGACCTGGGCAATGTCGAGGACATCTCTCCTTGCAGATGTGTTAGCAGCTACTTTTATAAGCATCAGTTCTCGCTCTGCGAATGGCAAGTTGGTCATATCTCTCACCTATAACATAACAGCAAGCTCGGTTTACGGTCTTTATTATTGATCGCTCCTGTAATTTTTTGTATTTTGTCTCTCACCTCATGAAGATCTACCAACTTGTGAAGTTGCCTAACCAACTTGCTTATCATTTCATCGGTTGCTGGAATAACTGTCGTGATCCGAGAGATGCCCTCTTTTTCAGCAGGTCCAACAGCTAAGCTCTGGTTAAGAAAAAAAGAAAGAAAAACATTAAGATATCACTTTCTGAAATTAGATCCTCTGAAAGAGTAGAATGCATCGGAAAGATGAATGGAACTAGTTAGTGTAAAAACCCGAACCTGGATGTTATAGCCTCTACGGGAGATAACTCCTGTTATTTCGTTGAGGACTCCGGGCGAGTTGTTCACGAGAATAGATAACGTACGAGAACGTTTTCCAGTTGACTAAAAATGATCTCAATATCGAAACAGAGCAAAGAATGTGAGTGCCCTTTTCATGAAACTTTCCAATTTCAAGCAATATCTAATTTCCCATAATATCAAATCAGAAGACTAATCATTTCTGGTTAGAAAGCAAAGAGAAAATCGGTATACTAAATCCATTGGACCACATTTTCGAGAAGAAGACTTTAACATTTTTTTTCTTCATATTTCACATTATATGAAACATGTTACCTTTTTTCATTCCAACTCCAAGGAGGGTAAATAAATTATATTCAAATGAAACAAAAGCAGCACAAAATTCATTTATCTTACATCTTCATCATAGACCGCTCCCCAATGAGCATCGAGGACTGGTTGGAAGTCGTCATAAGGTTCCACCGGATAAACGTCACCCTGAAATTAAGTGCAACAAATCTTTATCAAACTGCGGATATAAGCAACAACAACAACAAAAAATCGTTCCTACTAACCACACCAGTCTCTAACCATCTTTAAGCATGGCAAGTATGCATTGAATCCGTTAACACAAAATTTGAAGCAATCAAATAGAAGCATGACAATTATGCTAAATGATGAATTCAAGTTCCTGCAGGATACAGTATGCATATGCATGATCAATCATGTATATAGATTGAAAGCTTGACCGTCTCATTTTCCGTACCTGAAAGATGAATGTTACATCATAATAACAAAACTAGACAAAAGAAAGAAAAAAAGATGTTATTTTGACTTGGACAGACTGTCAGTCAAACCAAACTGGAGGAGCAAAGATGCAGAGAACAGAGCAAACTGATGTGAGTTATCCTTAGGTGTTATGTTATGTATACCCTTGAAGATGCAGTGCCATTGCCGTTGGCATTCAATGAAAGCTTTGACTTCACTATGACAGTTGCATGAGAAGAATTTTCCACCAGATCAGGGTATGATGCAGCTGAAAACCTCCAAAATGGAGCTGTCTCCCCCATCTTTTCCCGTCTTAAAGCAATCTAAATTCAAGAATACCGTACAAGACTGATTTAGGATTCCCACAATTTTGTCAAAGAAGACTGCTTTAAGTGTTGAAGTCACCATTTCGTTTGCAATCATTTAAGATAAAGAATTGACCAAGTTTAAAAAGAAAAATTAATGGTTTCATAATCAGTAGCATCATATGCAATATCACCTTCCCCGTTCTGGCAATTTCCTTTATTCCAAATTTCTCTAAGTTCCTCTGTAGAGCAACCATCTTTCCTGGGTCTCCAGTGACCTAAGGGATTAAAATGTGACATTACAATCATTTCTGACAATCTGAAATCAGATAAAATCAAAAAAGAAAGAAAAACCATTGATCTGACCCCAACTTGGAAGTGAAATACAGAGCTAGAGAAAAGGACCTACCTCAATTGTCAGAGATCGCTCCGAAGTATCCACTATCTTTGCTCTAAAGATGTCAATCAACCACATGATCTGGAGATGGAAACATCAGAGTCAACAAACAAACAAAACTTTGATGTGGGTTAAGAAAATTCCAAGCCCCCATCTCCAAGAATCTGATAAGTACTACAGAAGGATTAGGGGCAAAGGTATGCAGCTAATGTGGTGGTTGTTTGTGTGTGTAGATAGCATATAGGTGTTGACATTTGTTTGGCTGTTTTGTTAGTTGTTTCCTTAGGGTTGGTAGTAGTTAGAGGATTCTGTTAGGGAGGGGATTGTATAAAGAAAGGAGGAGGAGGGGGAAAGGGGAGGGGATTTTTCGGGTGGAGAAGTGGGTGGGGAAGAGAGTAGGAGCCTCTCTCTAATCAAAGCTATCCGAAGTGTATGGTTTGGGTGTTCAATAAAGCTGCTGGAGTTTCTCTAAGGAGTGGTTCGAGCATCAGAACCTTAACAAATTGGTATCAGAGCAAGTCTAAGCCATGACGAAGAGCAACACGCAACGCTGGGAACAATTGGAGGATACGGTCCATGACAGATGCGAGAAAATCGAAGAAACAATGGCAGATTTACAGAAGCAGTGTTCGAAAATGGATTACCTGGTGAAACAATGCTCGCGATTTGAGGCGATGGAGCAGATGCTGTCGAAGCTGTGTCGGTTGTTGGAAGCTGATTGCGATCGCCAGGATTCTTCTCCAGATTCGATTTCGCCGCCGGCAACAGGAGCTGACAGATCGCAATTCAATCGCGATCCAGAGCCGAAAGCCGATTGCGATCACGAACCGAAGATTCGTCCAGAGGTTCGAGAGGTGATTCTGCAGCCGAAAGAGGAAGGCGATGTGCAGCAACAGGAGCGATTCATCGGAAACAACAGTTCGCACCTCAAGGTGATGCCGATCGAATCCGTCGATCGCATAGAGGCTAATCATGACCAGAACATACCGATTGGAGAATTGCCGATTGATCGTGACAAAGTCCCAAAGGTGCAGACAGCGGCTGGGTTTACAGATTCATGGGATAGGGGACTATCAAACAAAGTGCTTCCGAACCGAGTCGTCAGATCGAAGGAATCGCACTTGCGAAAGGTTGAAATGCCAGTCTTTGAAGGTAACAATGTTGTTGGTTGGATTACACGTGCTGAGAGTTATTTTGAATTAGGAGGCAGTAAGGAATTGGAAGGATTACGCTTGGCTTCGATGCGAGTTGAGGTGGAAAAGCAACTGAAGATACAGACACAACGATTGAAAGATGATGCTTTGCGTAGAGAAAGCTCGAACAGACTTCCAGATTTGTTGAAATTGGAAGAGTTGGAGCGAAATTCTCGATTGGTCCATGTCGAGAAAGAAAAAAAGATGTTATTTTGACTTGGACAGACTGTCAGTCAAACCAAACTGGAGGAGCAAAGATGCAGAGAACAGAGCAAACTGATGTGAGTTATCCTTAGGTGTTATGTTATGTATACCCTTGAAGATGCAGTGCCATTGCCGTTGGCATTCAATGAAAGCTTTGACTTCACTATGACAGTTGCATGAGAAGAATTTTCCACCAGATCAGGGTATGATGCAGCTGAAAACCTCCAAAATGGAGCTGTCTCCCCCATCTTTTCCCGTCTTAAAGCAATCTAAATTCAAGAATACCGTACAAGACTGATTTAGGATTCCCACAATTTTGTCAAAGAAGACTGCTTTAAGTGTTGAAGTCACCATTTCGTTTGCAATCATTTAAGATAAAGAATTGACCAAGTTTAAAAAGAAAAATTAATGGTTTCATAATCAGTAGCATCATATGCAATATCACCTTCCCCGTTCTGGCAATTTCCTTTATTCCAAATTTCTCTAAGTTCCTCTGTAGAGCAACCATCTTTCCTGGGTCTCCAGTGACCTAAGGGATTAAAATGTGACATTACAATCATTTCTGACAATCTGAAATCAGATAAAATCAAAAAAGAAAGAAAAACCATTGATCTGACCCCAACTTGGAAGTGAAATACAGAGCTAGAGAAAAGGACCTACCTCAATTGTCAGAGATCGCTCCGAAGTATCCACTATCTTTGCTCTAAAGATGTCAATCAACCACATGATCTGGAGATGGAAACATCAGAGTCAACAAACAAACAAAACTTTGATGTGGGTTAAGAAAATTCCAAGCCCCCATCTCCAAGAATCTGATAAGTACTACAGAAGGATTAGGGGCAAAGGTATGCAGCTAGTGTGGTGGTTGTTTGTGTGTGTAGATAGCATATAGGTGTTGACATTTGTTTGGCTGTTTTGTTAGTTGTTTCCTTAGGGTTGGTAGTAGTTAGAGGATTCTGTTAGGGAGGGGATTGTATAAAGAAAGGAGGAGGAGGGGGAAAGGGGAGGGGATTTTTCGGGTGGAGAAGTGGGTGGGGAAGAGAGTAGGAGCCTCTCTCTAATCAAAGCTATCCGAAGTGTATGGTTTGGGTGTTCAATAAAGCTGCTGGAGTTTCTCTAAGGAGTGGTTCGAGCATCAGAACCTTAACAGAATCATCTGGGAAAATCCCAGTTTGGTACATTACACCAAGATCAACTAATTTTAACGGAAGAACAAGGAAACAGATCACTATCATTACCTCAGTGCGCGTGGTTGGATCAGCATTAAGTTTAATGAGCATTAATTCACGTTCTACCTGAGGCTCCTTGGAAATATCTTCTACCTGGCACACCAACATAAATTCTTGGTAAGAATCATCTTTCGTGAGAACAAGGAAAAATGGTGAGCCCAGAGATATCAAAATTATAGGTCAAATCTGGAAAAATTCCAAGCTTGACGATAAAATTTTGCATGTCAATCTTTACAAATAGTCTAGATAATGAACCGCTAAAACAGGAAACTCACCAAAAACCAACATCTGTTACGATTTAATTTAAACAAAAAGACAAAAGAAATAGAACTAGGAAACTGTCAAGGTAAATAGTTAGATGTAGCAGATAATATAAAAGCAATGTTAAACCTTGATGACGTTCACAAGCTTGTTAAGCTGTTCAACGACTTGCTGCAAAACTTTGTCTGTCCCAATAACAACTATAGTAAAGAGAGCCTTGTCTTCATTCAATCCAACAGCAAGAGACTCGATGTTGTAACCCCTTCTAGCAAAGACACCAGCTATCCGGTTTATAATCCCACTCTCATCTCCCACGAACACTGAAATAGTATGGCGTCGAACCCTGGAAATAGGAAGATCAAATTTTCAAAAAAAAAATGCAGATCGCGTTATCAGAATGGTATAACTGACACCACAACGAAATATCATGATAACCATGAAGTCACACACAACCAAAATTCCAAACTCCAGAGAATCAACAAACTTTAATACATAAAAAAGGGGGCAACAAAAAGAATGAATGATACAAAGATGCTCCAAAAACTATATAGATATCCAATTTAGCATTTTCAGAGTGGTGATACAACTGTCCTCATTGATTTCCTTGCAGCATTTTTGCCCACCCGGAGCAACCATTTACGGATAAAATGGTGTTTCTATACAAAATAGCAAATCATATCCAGATATGGAAAAGGATTCTGCAATAAGACACTTCGACTACTACTCAATTGAATAGACAACCAAATCCAACAAGGAAGAAACATATTTACTGATTACCCAAAAAAGTTAGCAAATATAAACAAGTAATCAGTTCTTAAAGAGTTAGAGCGAAAAACAGGAGGAGGATGTTCGTATGACAAAGCTGCGAATTCAAAAGCCTCTCAACCTAACGGGCCATATAGGAAATCCTTCAATAAATAGGGTATGCAAAATCATGGAATAAGGAATAATTAATGAGGGCCTGAGGCAGAACAGAGGCCTCAAGCATTTCTTAACAACTTAGCATTTCAACTCCACTAGGCATCTCTAAAGTTCATGCTTTTCAAGATGTCATTAAAATACCTAATTTACACACCAAGACACAAGAATCTAACATCTTTAGCGATCAATTACTTTGAGCTGGATCTTGTTTTTTAGAAAGAAAGATCTTACCTTTGTGAAGTTTCACATCAATTCACCGACATCCTAAGAACTATTTAACTTTATGAGACGAACCCATTTGTCTCTTAGTTTTCCAAAAACGGATTCGGAATCTTCTTGTATTCTAAGTTCATGTACAAAGTTGAATTCAAAGATGGTAATTGATGATAGATATACTACTTCATTTCAGATACAATTGGCTAAAAATACGATAAATACTGACATGGTAACTTGAACTCCTAGTTTATAACACTCTCCATTAACACCAAAAAATGCAAGTACGTGATAAACTAAGTAAATATTTCTTTGGAAAAATAAGAGAAAATGGAATTTAAAAAAAAAAACAGAAACCCCATTTGGAATATAAGAAAACCAAGCTGCAAGAAGGCTCATTTATAAAACAACCGAGCATAATCGAGCCATGAAACGAGTTGAGACGCACCTCTCACGACCCGCCGGAGCTACTGACTCAGACGCGGCGGTGATGGCTTTACCAGTGGAACCTGCGGCGGCGATGAGAGTCTTCCGTCGTCCTAAAACCCTGACAGTAGCATTCCTCCTTCCGTCGGAGTCTTGGGATCTCGCCAGAAATTGTACAGATTCCGATGTTGTTCTCACCGGAAATCCATGACCCGTATTCGGATTCTGAGTCGGTACGCGAGTTGAGTACAGTGAAGCAGACGCCGCCATTGCCGATATGTAAGTTGTTGGTTGCTACCTGTGAAGCGAAAAACAGGAGGAGAGAAACTAAGACAAAAAAAAGGGCACTTTGGTAGGCTGCGAGGGGAAGGCGAATTATAAAATTATAATTAGCAATTTTCTTATTTCTGAAAATGAATAAAATATAATTACCGATCTATTAATATATATATATATATATATAAAAGAATACCATCTTAAACGGCAGTGCCAAAAACATGATTTACCGAATTAATTAATTAAACTACACATTTATTGGGAAATATACTAAGATTGAAAAGGCCTTTGTCGTTTCGTTAGTTCTTAAAAGTTCCTTAATTAAGAAAAAAATGGAATCCATTTTGTGCAAAACGTGGCTTATGTTTTAAACTAGTCTTGGGAATTTTTCATAATAACAAAAACAATGGCCGGATGTTAATTAGTCTTGCTTTTATAGTAAAATCCGGCATAGACACACAAATATGTAGGAAATCGAATTAATAACACAAAATAAAATATATGGCCATCACATAAAAATAATATTCAGTAACCACAGATATATATATATATCTATATATATATAATATACATACAACAGATACATATATATGATAAACTCCAGGCAGCATCTCTACTTTTGGCACACTACTTACCATATCCAATACATACTACAACAAATGCCTGCAGAGAGAAAGAAGAGCATCTTTTTAGAGGAGGAGATGAGTTCAAATTCAAAAATGGCAACTTTTCATTAACCAGAAGGAGGGTCGGTGTTCTTACCTAATATAACCTGTTAACAGTAGAGATCTTCCATACAACACTCAGAAGACAGATTTCATGAGCTTCCCCCTCGGCTTTATCTTGATGTCATCAAAGGGCTTTGCCTGTTCCACTTGGATGTAGTCCTTCGTTTTCAGAACCTGAAATTTCCAGATCCAAACACAGACTTATGTATGGATTTTTTTCTTAATTAAGTGAGGATTGCTGCACACTCATAGTTTTGGATGGTTAACAAAAAAGCTGCAGTGATGGAATATGCTAAAAGCAGGAATTCTTATTACATGCTTACGCCTACCAGAAAGAAAACCCATATTTTGTGTCTGTGCCTATTAATAAGGAAAACGGCCGAACTTTTACTAGAAAAAAACATCATTAATCCATTAGAGCAAGAGAAAGAACTTAGTCACAGGGAATTCATACCTTGTCCTATGTCTTTATTAACTTCAGGGACTTTTGGGTTCATTTCAGCTACTTTAAAAGTTGATGATTTTCTTTAATAATGCTCCCGTAAAATGTTTATAAACTTACCAGTGTCTCGAAAAACATTCTTGAAGCTTCTTTGCGTGTTTTTCCCGTTAGCAGGTTCTCCACCACAAGAACATTCTTCCCATTCTCGGCTTCTTTATCGAATAGAGTTTGCAGGTACCTGGCCACCGCCCTACAC